TCTCTCCTAGGATGGGGGCTAGAAGTGGGAGCTGTTAGTTCAGGTATAAGGCTGATACATAGATTGTTTTCCTGGCCCAGGCCCATCCATCACCAACTGACTTTGTATGTGGCTCAGAAGGCCTCTAGGCAAGAGAGTGAGGTCCTGGCCTCTCTCCAGAAGACAGGAAATTCGGTGTAGCTGCCTGAAACCTCTTCTGGGGTGGGTGATACCCCACCATTCCTGGGACCCAGAATGCCCTTCTTGGCATTCCCCTACCTTCTATGACCAGATTAGTCCCTCTCCTTCCAGAATGTCTCCATGCATTTATTCTACCATGTTCTACTCCCCCACCTTACCTGTCACTCCATTAGCATATGGAATTAGAAAATCATCTTGTGATGCACTTGAGTCCCAGTCGTTAACATGTGGGTGTCCTAGGCTGGCGTGGTGGCTCACACCTGTAATCCCAGCACTTTGGGAGGCCAAGGCAGGTGGATCACTACTAGGTCAGGAAATCGAGACTATCCTGGCTAACCCAGTGAAACCCGTGTCTATTAAAAATACAGGAAATGAGCCAGGCATGGTGGCATGAACCTGTAATCCCAGCTACTTGGGAGGCTGAGGCAGGAGAATCTCTTGAAGCCAGGAGGCGGAGGTTGCAGTAAGCCAAGATTGTGCCCCTGCACTCCAGCCTGGGTGACAGAGCGAGACTCTATCTCAAATATATATATATATGTGGGTGTCCTATGTCTTTAAACTGGGGGTTCCTCTCAGACACCTCCCAAAAGGTGAGGGATGAGAGGTGAAGTAGACTTCTTTCCTCCTTTTTTTNGTTGGCCAGGCTGGTCTGGAACTCCTGACCTTGGGTGATCCACCCTCATCAGCCTCCCAAAGTGTTGGGATTACAAGGTGTGAGCCACCACGCCTGGCCACATTTTATAATGTTTTTTGTTTTTTTTTTTAAAGATGGGGTTTCACCATGATGGCCAGGCTGGTTTTGAACTCCTGACCTCAGGTGATCCACCCACCTCAGCCTCCCAAAGTGCTAGGATTACAGGTGTGAGCCACTACACCTGGCTGACTTCTTTCCTTCTTTACTTCTCCCCCACCCATGGCCATCTTCCTGGCACCCCTGGTTTCCTGTGGGTGCATCTCTGAACCCTCTTCCCCCACTGACCCCTGCCTCTGTGTTGCCCATGCCCCAAGACTTTTATCAAGAGATCTCTCTGGATGAACTCAGTGCTGTAGAGCTGATGGGGAAACTGACTGAGCTCCTGGCCCTCCCAGCCAATCAGATCCATCACCTTTTCCACCAGGGCCCTGGGGGCATCCTCATTCTCTTCAGTGACCAGGTAAAAGGCAGCCATTTCCTGTCAAGTCCCCATGGAGGCCTTGCTAACACTTCTGCCTCAGATTCAGCTTTCTTTTTCATGGCATGGCTTGTTCTCCTTGGCTCTAAGAACAAAATTGTCTTTGTGCCCACTTCTCTCTTATAGGTGGTCCAGAATTTTAAGGATGAATCATACTTTCTGGCTGTGGTGGAAAAAGGTAGGGATTTTAGAGGCAGAGGAGTGTGGCTGGCCAGCCCTATAAAGGGTGATAGGAGTGTGCTGAGCGTATATTCTGTCTCCTAAATGAGACTAAAATGCTCTTTGGGGACCAGGCGCAGTGGCTCACGCCTGTAATCCTAGCACTTTGTGAGGCTGAGGCAGATGGATCACTTGAAATCAGGAGTTCAAAACCAGCCTGGCCAACATGGCAAAACTCCATCTTTCCAAAAAATTAGCTGGGCATCGTGGCACATGTCTGTGGTTCCAGGTACTTGGGAAGCTGAGGCAGGAGAATCGCTTGAACCCAGGAGGCAGAGGTTGCCCCATTGCACTCCAGCCTGGCTAATAGAGCAAGTCTCTGTCTTAAAAGAAAAAAGGCTCTTTGAAGGGGGTTAAGTGGGTGTGTCCCAATTAACTGGCAAATGTCTGTGAATGCCAACTTTATGTCAAGGGGAGGTATAAACGACATTTACTGCTTAGGGAAAACGTGGTTGAATAAATGCATTCTCATGAAGTAAAAAATGCTCCAGTTTCTGTTGTCAGGGAATTTATTAGAGGGGAAGCTAAGGCTTCACTTTTTTCCACCTGCTCCCCGCATGATACAAGGCAGGACAGGTGCTTGCTGGACATCACCTGGCCTACGGCACCTCTGACTAGTCTGCTCGGCATCTGGTTATTCAGATGTTTGCCCTCTACCCCTCCACATGCCAGAGTTGGTCAACTTGGCGTATGTATACACGGGGGGTAGGTAGGAAGAGGAAGATGTGAAGTGGGGTTTTATGAGTTGGGTGTGCCAGACACACTGTAGGCTGCTTGGAGGTTGAGGACCTGACTCATCCCATTGGTGCCTTTTTACTGCTTTCAGTGCAGAATCCAGAAGGCTACTACTTGGTTCTGACCTAGGCCGAGGGGAACTCCACTGCTCAAGACTGATGGCTCCGTCTTCACTAGAAACCTTGTTAAAACGCTTGTCTGACTCACCAGGATCCAGGTGAACCAAACTATCTTGCATCTTACCCCTGGGGAGAAGGCAAGTAGCCTCCAGCTTCACTTTTCTTTCTGCTCAGCAGCAATGGTTGTTGGAAGTCTCCCTTGCCCATTCATTCTGAGCTGGCCAAGTTTATGAGGCAAAAAAACTGGCATGTTGAAAAAGAGCTTTTGCCATGAGCGGTGTTGGCTGCTGAACACTAAGAGTGTGCTAATTCATTTAAAATTTTTACTCACCCTCTTCCTTTTTAAATTAAAAGTTAATTTTTAAAAGGTATGTACACTTAATGTGTTGAACATTTAATGTGGTGTTCAGTTTTCTTGGCTTTATTGTCCCCAAGGGGAAATGTCTTCTGCTTAAACTATAAACTAGGGCAAAGGATGGGGTCTGGAACAAGGGATTAAATCAATCCAGCTGGATCTTTTTTTCCCAATTAGTTTGGGCAAAACTAATTACTAAAGCCTCCAAAAGACAGTACTCAAATCACTGTACCTACTAAAAAAACTCAGTTCTGCCAGGTGCAGTGGCTCATGCCTGTAATCCCAGCACTTTGGGAGATGGAGGTGGGTAGATCACCTGAGGTCGGGAGTTTGGGACCAGCCTGACCAACACGGTGAAAATCCATCTCTACTGAAAATACAAAAAATTAGCCAGGTGTGGTGGCGTGTGCCTGTAATCCCAGCTACTCAAAAGGCTGAGGCAGGGGAATTCCTTGAACCCAGGAGGCAGAGGTTGCAGTAAGCCAAGATCGCACCACTGCACTCCAGCCTGGGAGACAGCGAGACTTTCAGAAGACAAGACAAAAATAAAACTCAGTTCTAAGAGATTTAGGAAATACTATAGCTATTCTCTAGAATTAAGGCTATGGGGCTATCTTTTAGAAAAAAAAAATAGACATATTGTTTTCTTAGTTTTAAGAGATGAGGTGTCTGTTGTCAAGGCTGGTCTTAAACTCCTGGTATCAATTGATCCTTCCACCTAACCTCTCAAGTATCTGGGATTACAGGTGTGCACCACTGTGCTTGGCCTTTTTTAAAACTTTAAATATTATTAATCTTTCATTTTTTGATCTTAATATTTTCCTAAAGTCATAAATGTATTTTTTTTTTTGAGACCCAGTCTTGCACTGTTGCCCAGAGCTGGAGTACAACAGTGCAATCTCGGCTCACTGCAACCTCCACCTTCTGGGTTCAAGCAATTCTTTTGCCTCATCCTCCCCCGTAGCTGGGATCACAGGTGCGCACCACTGTGCCTGGCTAATTTTTGTATTTTTAGTAGAGACAGGGTTTCACCATGTTGGCCAGGCTGGTCTCTATCTCCTTACCGAGTTAGGATCCGCCCACCTTGGCCTCCCAAAGTGCTGGAATTACAGGCATGAGCCATCTCCCCCAGCCTTTTTTTTTTTTTTTTTTTTGAGACATGGGTTTCACTTTGCCACCCAGAATGGAGTGCAATGGCGATTCTCCTGGTCGCAACCTCCCGAGTAGCTGGCACTAGAGGCAAGTTTTACTATGAAAATCTTTAAATATACAGAAAACTACATTTGAAGATTTTCATAGGCACAAAGTGGAAGACAAGTCATTTTTGAGTCTGCTGAATATTTAGTTCAAAGTTAATATGAACAACTGAGCAGACACTGCTCACATCCCCGGAAGGGGCTGTGTTGGGATTAATCTAGGGTAAAGGTAGGTCTTTACCTTATGTGGGACAATAAATGGCTGTGAAGTGGGGATTATGATTCCACAGGGCTCCCCAAGGGTGCTTCATGGCAAGGTAGATAGAGATTTAAATTAATTTGCTGAGTTGGCTCTACTGCTCACCTCTACCAAAAGGATGGGGACCCTACTGCATTTATGTCTGTGTATCTCTATGTCCTAGTGGCCTCTAGCACAGACAAGGTATTGAAATATTCATTGGGTTAAAAAGAATAAAAGCTGGCAACATGTGTTTACTATGTACCACTATCTCATTTAATCTTTACAACTGTACAAAGTACATACTGTAGTCCCCATCTTACCAATGGAGAACTGAGAAAAGGGGTTAATTGGCTGAAGTCATATAGGATAAATGGTATAGGTTTGACCTCAGGCAATCTGACTTTTGAGCTTGTGTGTTTAACCATTACACTACTCCATCTTGACTCCTTCCTAGTCAAGGTAAGGGCAATGAATGCTCTGCATAGAGAAGGGACCTGGGTTGAATTTTATCCATCAAATTAAGGCAACTTATTTACAATATGTCTTTCTTGTTTCTTAAGGACAAGTGAAGCTCAGGGTATTAAATAATGGCTGTTAAAAAGTATTAAACAGAGGCTATTAAATGAGTCAATAAATGAGTATTAAATAAAAGCTATTAGGGAGTATTTAAAAATGTAAGGATGCCAAAAAGAAGTCCATTCAGCCTCAGGAGCCTTTGTAGTTCTAGGCTTCAAGGAGGTTAAAAATCACTGCTCCAAGTCAGGCTATTTCCACAGGAAAATGAAAAGTCTTCACAGCTTATTTTCTTTAATTACATCATAAAACAAAATTAGAACATACAGGAAACAATAATAGTTACATAACAATTTATATATTTATATATAAAAAAACTTATTTATTTTTTTTTTTAGTCCAAAGATTTTTAAAGCAAAAGGAATCCTCTACTGCCACCTCGGATTTTTATTTACTTTAAATAACACCCCTCCCCATCCTCAAGCGCCAAAAGTACTGGGTGGAAACAGTCACTTGGAGAGCTAATGGAATCTGATGCTAAGTTACCCCATAGGCAACTATCAGCTCCAGAGATTGGCTAAGCATTTGGAACAGGCCTGGTGGAGAAACAAGCAAGGAGCAGCTCCCACACACTGCAGCACTCCAGAGTAGGCCCCACAGCTGGGGAAGGAGGAGATTAGACCCTGCAGCCAACCACCTCTGCATTTTACCCCCTCAGGGGAGTGGATGGGGGTATGGGGTGCAGGGATGAAACAGCCTGGTTTGAAGATAAAAATGTCTCCAACAGCACCATTTACCCATCCATCTCTGTCCCTGAGCAGAGTCTGACAGGCATGGGTAGTCCTCACAGTTCTCTGAGCTCTGCACAGGTCACATTATTTGGATCTGTGCTCTCAGGGTCACTGGAAGGTGGGCAAAGGTGAGCAGAGCAGCTGAGAAGTACACACAGCAGGTTATCTGGAAACAATTCCTGGGAGAAAAAAGGAAGAGGCAAGGGTAGGAAGCATCTGAAGGCCAAGTCATAAAGCAGGAATGGAGAAAAACAAAATTAAGAAATGCAAAATTAAGAAGGCCTCTCTTCTCTTACAGTCACCCTTTGGAGTGGGTAGTCACAGACACTCGGGGCTCCAAGAGCCACAGCATGGCGAGAAAGGACAGGGGTAGCTTCTGAGGAGCACAGTCTCATGGATCTTGGGAGGTGCCAACAGGCTCTAGGAGTTATAAGTTAGTGTGTAATTTGGAAGTGGAGTGGGGAGGAGAGTGAGAAGAAATCACAAGTTCATCCCTTCCTGCGCCATTAGAAATTAACAGTCATCAGAGAAGCACAGATAAGAAATTATTCTTAAGGGAAAGAAAAAAGTAATGTAAACCCGTGAAAGCAGCAGCAAAGGTTTCACTTATTAAAAATCTATTATATAGCATTAGGAAAGAAAATTATCTGTTATCTGTCCATAGGGGGAAAAAGTAATTAGTCAAACCATGCCAGTTAGAGACTTTTTCAAGTTAAGATTTTCTAGGACCTTAGATTTTCATTCTCTAGTGCCATAAAAATGGGGGCGGGGCGGGAGAGGAAAGTAGAATAATGACTTCAAGGGCTGAGAAAGATGAGAAGGTTTAGGCTAAGGTAAGAAACATATATGTGTGGAGGGCAGCGATGTGGTACATATCTGAATTAATGAGATAATGACAAGAGAAACTTAGTGAAGCAGTTTTCTTCCAATTTAACAAAAAAGACATCATACTTCAAAGATGACCCTTAGTTCTTGGGGCAGGGCAGAACAGAAAAGGTAAATGTGTCCGGACACCTCTCTTTTCCCATTTCTTCCTAGAGTAGGGATTGTCATTTACTGCTCATCTCTCTTGTCCTAGTACCAAAACCACACCCAGATGCAGCTGGATGCACTTGTGGTTCTTCCGGTGGTGCCAAAACCCATCGGTATGACCGATTAAGTGTGTAGAAAGTAGGAGCTCTCTTTGCCAGTAAAAAGGGGTGGAGTTCATCAGACAAAGAGGAAAGTAAATGTACCCATGTGTGAGGCAGTCATCACTATGTATTCAGGATAGATGCTGTACCTGAGGCAAAGTACCCCAATTCTAGAGCTAATTCTCTCCTTTATTTGAACCTCATCTATCATTTTCCCATGCTGATTTTTCAAAATAAGACTATAAAACACAAAACAGAAAAGACTATTGATTGCTAGGACTTTACTTGCTCATGGTTCTTCATAAAAGGGCAATAAACCACCCTGGCTGAGGAAGCACCGAGACTCAACATCCGCAAACTGAACCTCACAAGCACTTATTAAAAAACACAAGGCAGAGGTGGAAGAAGTGCATATGGACTTTCTCTTAACATCCCACAGGGGAGCTTGCCCTATTTCTTTTTTTCCCGAAAATTAACTCTCTTGGGCTCCAAAGATCGACTCAGCCTCACCTGAGGGGTTATGTACTGACTTAAGATCAAAGGCTTCAGAGACACTGAATTGATGTGTCTAAGAATAAAAATAGCTACAACAGGTAGATGTGACTTGAGGGGGAAGCTGAAGTCCTTCTTCATGCAAGAAACTCACTTGCCTCATATGGTACTTTCAGGCAGGTAGAAAGTTTATCCTGGGCCGGGTGTGGTGGCTCACACCTGTAATCCCAGCCCTTTGGGAAGCTGAGGCGGGCAGACCACCTGAGGTCGGCAGTTCGAGACCAGCCTGACCAATATGGTAAAACCCCATCTCTACTAAAAATACAAAAATTAGCCAGGTGGTAATGGTGTGCACCTGTAATCCCAGCTACTGGGGAGGCTGAGGCAGGAGAATCGCTTGAACCTGGAAGACAGAGGTTAAGGTGAGCCCAGATCATGCCATTGCATTCCAGCCTGGGCAATTAGCGCAAAACTTGGTCTCAACACACACACACACACACACGGTGTAATTAGCGCAAAACTTGGTCTCAAAACACACACACACACATGGTGTATCCCAAATGAGAAGGCAAGGTTGATAACTTATGCTTTCTGCTAGAGAATCAAAATGTCAAGTTAGGGCACTTGGATACAGCCCAGATTTTTTCTTTGGGGGGTGGAGTCTAGCTCTCTGGCCCAGGCTGGAGTGCAGTGGCTCAATCTCAGCTCACTGCAACCTCCACCTCCCAGGTTCAAGTGATTCTCCTGCCTCAGCCTACCGAGTAGCTGGGACTACAGGCACATGCCACCACACTCGGCATTTTTTGTATTTTTAGTAGAGATGGGATTTCACCATGTTAGCCAGGGTGGTCTCAATCTCCTGATCTCATGATCTGCCTGCCTTGGCCTCCCAAAGTGCTAGGATTACAGGCGTGAGCCACTGCACCTGACAGATACAGCCCAATTTTATTCCTAAACTACCTGGATTAATCATACCCTACTGACATGGTTTTATAGAGCTCTCTGCATCTTCCAATCTTACATTTAAAATTTATGATAGAAATTGGCCAGCCATGGTGGCTCACGCCTGTAATCCCAGCAATTTGGGAGTCTGAGGGAAGTGGAACACTTGAAGTCGCAAGTTCGAGACCAGCCTGGCCAACATGGCAAAACCCTGCCTCTCCTAAAAATACAAAAATTAGCTGGGCTGGTGGTGGGCACCTGTGATCTCAGTTTCTTGGGAGGCTGAAGCAGAAGAATCACTTGAACCCAGGAGGCCGAGGTTGTAGTGAGCCAAGTTTATGCCATGGCACTCTAGCCTGGGTGACAGCAAGACTCCATCTCAAAAAAAAAAAAAAAATTATGGTAGAAATAAAGGCAAGGAAAACCTGGGACTCCATTTTCCCCCCATCCTTCTACTGCTTTAGAATTCTTTGGTCTAATATCATTAATGGGGAGAGAGGTTCTGTCTCAAGAACTCCAACCGAACATCCTACATTTCTTCTCAAACAGGACTTGGCTAATTCACAGTGCCTGGGTTTGAGGTGACTAAAGATCCTAGAATTGGTAGGCAGATAGGCAATCTTTTTGTAAAATGTTTTAGAGCTCAAACATACGACTGAGAGATTCTGTCAGCTGGGGAAACAACCAGGATAAAGGCCTACCCTTAAATCATATACATAAGGAGGAAAAAGGCAGAACAGAGCAATTTCCTTTAAACCCCCTCTCACTGGTAGCAACTGGCATGAACAGTCTGACTTTCAGCACAATAAACATAAAAGGGCCAATGGCCCATGAGTGCTCTTCTCCCAATAACATGATCAATTAAGGACATGCTGACTACACAGGCAGGAAGGACGCTTACTGTCTTCTTTCCAGTCACACACTTGCACTTTTTTTTTTTTTTTTTTTGAGATGGAGTCTTGCTCTATCGCCCAGGCTGAAGTGCAGTGGTACGATCTCGGCTCACTGCAACCTTGACCTCATGGGTTCAAGAGATTCTCCTGCCTTAAACCTCCTGAGTAGCTGGGACTACAGGTGTGCGCCACCACACCTGGCTAATTTTTGTATTTTTAGTAGAGGCAGTTTCACCGTATTGGTCAGACTAGTCTTGAACTCCCGACCTTGTGATCCACCAGCCTCGGCCTCCCAAAGTGCTGGGATGACAGGCATGAGCCACGGCGCCCGGCCTCACTCCCACATTTTCTAACAACTTCAAACCAAGACAAGTTTCATCATATATTTTGTTTAGTCCCCCTTGGCATTAGTGAGCTATCAAACTAGTAAAAACGCTTTTTTTTTTTTTTTTGAGATGGAGTCTCGCTCTGTTGCCCAGGCTGGAGTACAGTGGCACGATCTTGGCTCACTGCAACCTCCGCCTCCCGGGTTCAGGTGATTCTCCTACCTCAGCCTCCCGAGTAGCTGGGATTATAGGTGCCTACCACCAAGCCTGGCTAATTTTTGTATTTTTAGTAGAGACAGGGGTTTCACCATCTTGGCCAGGATGGTCTCAAACTCCTGACCTTGTGATCCACCTGCCTCAGCCTCCCAAAGTGCTGGGATACAGGTGTGAGCTACCACACCCAGCCATAACAATGTATTTTACAAGGCAATTACATGAAATAAAAGACTGTGCCTACTGAAGCATTATGGCTATACCGAATAACTCAAATAGTCTGGAAAGCCCAAAATAAAGCATCATAAATTTACCAGGTTTCCCTGTAAAATGTCATATCCAACAGTTTGCTTTTCAACTCAATTCAAATTCAGTATGCAAACAACAAAGACCACCTAATGAAAAATGGCCTGAGCCACCTGACAGGTATTGAACTTAAGGCTGCCCATGACAGCACCTGGAGTAGGAAAGGAATTCAAAGAGGAGCTAGATTGGAGACATCTGAGAGTACATCAGCAGCATTACTGAGGGTGAGATGGAGGCTTTAAGTAGAGGGAAAGGATGGGTGTGGGAAAGAAATGTTGGAAATCAGTGCAAAAATAAGCTGGAGTCAGCTCAATGGAGCTGATGGAGAATGAAGACACTTATGTAGCAAATGATGCTGGAAAATGTAAGGGATGAAATAGGGGAAAACTGCTTAGAAAAGAGATGATCTGTATGTTCAAGAACTTTCTCCAGAGACACTACCGTAATTCCTCCTTGCCCACCTGTAGGTTTAGGGCAGCAGCTTTGAGGGTACCTTCTAACTTACCCCCAAATCTCTTCTCTCTGTTCACTGTTTTTTCCATTATAAAAGGCATGTTTTGGAGTGGCTATGAAGTTAGACAAACAGACCAATTAGCTTTTTCTGTAGAGAATTTTTCCTACATTAATCCTTACTTAATTTTCACAAGTATCCCAGATGTTGAGAGAGGAAGCATTATGTTCAGATGTCAGGCTCCTTTCCACCTGACCAAAACTTACCATGCTCTGTATTCTCAAAGTCCTAGCATATCCATCAGCTGGCACAGGCTGCAAATCAGCATAAAAAATGTATTTCCTTCCAAGCTTGATGAGCCTGAAGTTTTCTTGAGAAAGGAGTAAGACTTCTGCCTGACAAAATACAAGCCAGTGCGCACACCCTTGAGTCTTCGTTCTCTCTTGACTATCCTTGGCCCAGACAGGCTGGAATTTGCCTTAATAGCAGGGATCACCAGGGGAAGTCCCCATGGACCTGCCTGTGGGTATACCCTTTGAGTAGAGAAACACCATTTCCAAGATCTTCATGACCTGATGAATAGGGTCTTTTAAACTTATTTTTAAGTAAAGAAGTACCTTAATAGCCTCAATGTAGGCAATTCAAATCCATATTCACTAATCAATCTGGGTTTTTTGGTCAATTTGTACAGGCACCAAAAAAACAACAACAAAACACCTTAAACTTTAAAGCGATGGCCCCTAAATAGTTTTCTCCTTTAGTTTTGTTTGAATGAATAACCTGGGGATCTGAATATTATCAACCACATCTGGAAGTGTGTGTGCATGCACGTATGTATTTGTATGTGTGGAGGGGGACAGCCAGGAAACTGAGTTTCATGTTATATTCCTTATAAGGTAATCTGAAAGAGATTATGGGGAGAGAGGAATGAATAAAACAAGTAATTTGCACTTTTAAAGGGGCACAATGAAACAGGATTTAAAATAAATTTAATATGCTAAATACTGGTGCGTAGTATAGACTTCTAAGACCCTTTCATCCGATTGCCTTCTAAATCAATGGAGAAATAAATCAGACTTTATTCTTATGTATGCTGGTAGAATCAGCAACTGCAGCATTAAAACAAGCCTCTTAAGCTGGGTACAATAGCACACACCTGTAGTCCCAGCTACTTGGGAGGCTGAGGTGGGAGGAAGGCTTGAGCCCAGGAATTTGACTCCAGGTTGGGCAAGGTAGCAAGAGCCTATCTCTAAAAAAATAAAAATAAAAATAAATAAATAAATAAAATAAGCCTTTTAATAGTCTGGATCACATAGAAGATTATCTGAGATTATGATGGACTGCACATTCATGTCTTAAAAGACTCCCCTGCCAAAATCACCCTATTAAAAATCACACTCAGGTTTCTGACCTTGCGGTTTAGAAATTTACTTCTTATGCTTTAAAAACTTCATTTTACTTCCTTCATCCTCTGATTTTTTTGGGGGAGACAGGTTACTTCTTCTTCAACTGTAAGTCCTAGACATTAAATTCCTCCCTTAGTTCTAGTGCCCAGGCCGAGCAGAGACACTAAACCCCCTACTTCCTCTCAATGTTGTCTTTCAGCTGCCTCAGTGGTTCACCTGGCTACATTCATACTTCATTCAGAAGTCTGGAGCAGGGCCAGGTGCTGTGGCTCACGCCTATAATGCCAGCACTTTGGAAGGCCGAGGCAAGTGGATCATTTGAGGTCAGGAGTTCAAGACCAGCCTGGCCAAAATGGTGAAACCTCATCTCTACTAAAAATACAAAAATTAGCTGGGTAATAGTGCTGCGTGCCTCTAATCCCAGCTACTTGGGAGGCTGAGGCAGGAGAATCACTTGAGCCTGGGAGGTGGAGGTTGCGGTGAGCCAAGATCAAGCCACTGCACTCCAGTCTGGGCAACAGAGAGACCTCGTCTCAAAAAAAGACTGGAGCAGAAAAGAGAGATGACTGACAGGTTCTGGGAAGGTTCTGGCCCTTTGGGGTGCCAACATATGAATCCATTAACACTGACATACAGCTGACCAGCTGTTACAGTGCCATTCTTGTATCCCTGAAAGGCTGAAATGGGGAAAAAAGAAACAGACTGGCTAGAATACACAGCTCCTCTGGTAGCATTCCTGCTAAAACAAAACAGCCTCACAGACACAGGTCAGAGATGCCAGTGATCACTCCTAGATTTCAGTAAATATCTAGTAACAAATCATTAATGTCTGAACTTCGGTGGTGGGGACTTTCAGGCTTGGTTTTGTGATTTATCATTCCACTCTTTCCTAATAATACATCTCTCTCTTTCCTTATTAAGGTGGAGTCTGACAGAAGGAAAAATGTGTAGGGTGGAATATTGGGCATATCATGCAAATTATCATATATCAGAAGATATAATAGAAACCAAAAAGCAGCATCTGTTTTCATCAAAATAGTCAATTTCTTCTCATAACTTTTCTTGCTTTTGTGATAGTTTCCTTCCAGATTGGCAAAGATTCAGGCAGGGTCCCCTAATGGTAAAATTTAGAATTAAAAAAATATTTATTGATATCTGTTTAAAAAATGTTTGGTAATCCCAACTAATCATTCAAAATGCAAATTGTAAACACGACAACAGCAAAAGAGTAACAATTGAGTGAGTAAGCAGACTGAACAGGTGACAGACTGAGCAAGAGTACGGGAGGGAGCAACAGAGAACGGAAGACACGTGCACAAGTGTGCTACAGACAGTGATAATTTGAGTGTGTAAGAATTACGTTTGGACCACAGTGATTTCAATGCAACCATTTAGGAAACCTCTGGGCCAAATACTAAAACACAGGAGGAATGGACGAGCCTTCTTTGTGAGCATGCTCAGCATGTTGGCATGGAAACAAGGAAGCACAGAAGCTCTGTAGTCACAATGAATGTCTACCATTTCTAAGATGCAAATAAATTTTCTTTCTGGTCCCTGGGTACATCATATATTGTCTTTCCATGCTTTTCTTGACCCTGCAGGACTGCAAATGCAGACACAGATGTTCCAAAATCCCCAAAGAAACCCCTAGACAAAAATTTAAAAACCACAGTAGCAGTAACACTGGGTTTGCTGGAATGCCCCTCCCTCTATCTTGGCCTATGATTTTCTTCTGGGCACCTCAACAGGAATGGTTAAGTTTTACCAATCTACTTGATAAAGCCATCACAAACTTCAGTCCCATGGTCACAGAGCTAGAGTGGATAGGGGTGAGTATGTGTACGTGTATGTATGTGTGGCTCTGGGGATCTGGACACTGCCCTCCCTCACTTTGTAACCCTTGCCCAGAACACCGGGGTCGCTTCCACTGGAGAAACTCCACCGTAGCTCTAGAAGTGTCATTAAATACTCAGTTCACCAAAGTTGACCACCTCCATTGTCATAGGATGATGCAGCATCTGCAGAAGCGCTGTCTGCTGCCCCCTACTGATGGGGGTGGAGTGACAGGTGCGAAGTAGGCGTGGACTTTAATATTGGGTAAATGGGTCTGAAACAAGACAAGAAACATTAAACATTTAAGAAAGAGGGCTTACACAGAAAGAGCAATATTGCTTTTAAAAAAAACTACCGAGGGGCTCAGTGAACATAAAAGCAGGGCAAAGGCCAAGCATTGGTCAAGATATTAGAAGGCCTGGGTTCTACTTTGTTCCATCCTAGGTTATTCTAAATGACGAGAACAACTCATGTAACTTTGGTACCTGTTTGTGTAATAATGCAACTGAGGAAAGACATCATACTAATTTCTTATCTTCTCCAAAAAAGGATTTCCAGTTGTATTCTCATAGCTGAAAGAAGCTACTTGCTTTTTTGGGTTGTGGTTTTATTTATTTTTTTTGAGACAGAGTCTCATTCTATTGCCTAGGCTGGAGTGCAGTGCTGCAATCTTGGCTCACTGAAACCTCTGCTTCCTGGGCTCAAGTGACCTGCCTCAGTCTCCAAGTAGCTGGGACTACAGGTACACTCTACCAGGCTAATTTTTGTATTTTTAGTAGAGAGGGGGTTTCACCATGCTGGCCAGGCTGGTCTCAAACTCCTGACCTCAACTGATCCACTCATCTTAGCCTCCCAAGTGCTGAGATTACAGGCACGAGCCACTGTGCCTGGCTAGCTACATTATAGTTTAAAATAATTTTTTTCCAAGTCATTTTGGACAATGATTTTTTTTCCTGATATTAAAAAAACTCATTATTCTAACAACATGTCTAAATTAGCATTTCAGAATTCCTACTATATTCAAGGCAATTCGATAGTTAAGTGAGGAAGTACAGAGATGGTCAAGATGGAAATTCTGCTCTTGGGCACATATAGTCTAGATATGTACATAAATACTCACACCTATTGTCCCAGCACTTTGAGAGGCCGAAGTGGGTGGACTGCTTGAGCACAGAAGCAATAGCATATTAAAGTGGAAAGGTGCTTGGTAAATGACTTCAAGAACAGATAACGATCCATCTCCTGAGGGCTGAGAGACAGAAGAGATTCCTGACAGCCAGGCAGTCTAGGAACCCTAATATAAGCAGGCCACATAAGACGCTCTAGTTGACCTGTGGCTCTTATTCTCTTTGGTGTAGAAAAAATATGGTTGCAAGGCCTCCTCCAGTGCAATTATGCTCACAGTCCTCTATGTGTGAAGAGGGGAAGAGGAACTTAGACCAACTGGAACTCAAGGTAAGGTCTGGTACTCTTATTTGCTCAAGGCCATATGGCCAACATGGATTTTTCAGGTGTTTTTTGTTTTTGTTTTGTTTTTGAGACAAGAGTCTCGCTCTGTCACCCAGGCTGGAGCGCAGTGGCACGATCTTGGCTCACTGCAACTTCTCCCTCCCAGGTTCAAATGAGTCTCCTGCCTCAGCCTCCCAAGTAGCTGGGACTACAGGCATGCGCCACCACACCTGGCTAATTTTTCTGTTTTTAGTAGAGACAGGGTTTCACCATGTTGGCCCGGATGGTCTCCATCTCTTGACCTCATCATCTGCTTGCCTTGGCCTCCCAAAGTGCTGGGATTACAGGGGTAAGCCACTGCACCCGGCCAGAGGTTGGTATTATTTTTGAGATGGAGTTTCACTTTTGCTGCCCAGGCTGGAGTGCAATGGCATGATCTCGGCTCACTGCAATCTCCGCCTCCTGGTTCACGCAATTCTCCTGCTTCAGCCTCCTAAGCAGCTGGGATTACAGGTGCTCACCACCACTCCCAGCTAATTTTTGTATTTTTAGTAGAGATGGGGTTTCACCATGTTAGCCAGGCTGGTCTTGCACTCCTGACCTCAGGTGATCCTCCCACCTCAGCCTCCCAAAGTGCTGGGATTACAGGCCTGAGCCATGGTACCTGACCTAGAAGTTGGTATTAAGGGCCTAAATAAGCACACTGTCTTTCCTACAACAGGTGTAAAGCAGATATTCCAATAAATGTCTGTTGAGCAGAACAATCCCAACATACAGATTCTTCCAGCTTTTTAAAATTTCTTTTTCTGGTCTAGAGCAGTGGCTCATGTCTGTAAACCCAGCACTTTGGGAGGCCGAGGCGGTAGATCACTTGAGGTTAGTTGCTCAAGACCAGCCGGGCCAATATGGTGAAACCCTGTCTCTACTAAAAATAACCAACTTAGCCAGGTGTGGTGGTGGGCACCTGTAATCCCAGCTACTCGAGAGGCTGAGGCAGGAGCATCACTTGAATCCAGGAGGTAGAGGTTGCAGTGAGCTGAGATCATGCCACTGCACTCCAGCCTGGGCAACAGAGCGAGACTCATGGTGGATAGGGCCAAAAGAAAAGCTAAAAATCTGGGCATGGCACAGTGACTCACACCTGTAATCTCAGCACTTTGGGAGGCTGAGGTGGGAGGATCATTTGAGGCTGCCAGAAGTTTGAGAGCAGCCTGCACAACATAGCAAGACCTTGTCTCTACAAAATTGTTTTTTTTTTTTTTTTTTTTTTTT